CTGCACAACACACGAAACAGCAGTCTGGGTTCTCTGTGTCCTCACACCAGACTGACGCCAGCAACCTTTGGCCCCAAGAGTTCACTTCCCCTCTCTCCTGTAGCACTCTGGGAAATGTAGTTCATGTACACATTGTCATTTATAATTCCTCCTCAGCTGTGTCCACAATCCCCACAAGACTGTGCTTTCTGGCTCCACCTACAGCTGCAATATCTTTTCTCTTAAAGGAGCTGATACCACAACAGGGCTACACACTAAATCAAATTATTTTTTATATTATGTACAACACTAATAAATGAACCAATATCCAATCAAATATACCATAGGTCAACAAATAAAATTGTGCAAAAAACAAAACAAAAAAAACAGCAAATAAAATGGTGCCAAAGGAAATTCAGTGATGTCTTATGCTGTGTCCACAACAATTCTTTAATAATATTCAATGTGAGGTTTCCACCATTCCCCGGCGCTTGTCATCAATATAATCCATAAAGGTGCATTTAATTTGATGGTCTGTGGTATATTTGATTGGATATTGGTTAATTTATTAGCACGGTATGCAATTTACAAAACCCTATGGATAACTATAGAAAGAAGGAGGGAGTTATTATGGAATTTGCTGTGGGTTAAGCTCTGGTATATGGCTGTGATGGGGAAATTGTCAAGGACTGGGTGTGGATAAACAAAAGTATAGGATAAAAGGTTTTATCTTGCTGCACTCCTTACCGGATATCCTTTGCATACGGGTGGGTGCTCGTAGTGACCATGGATGGCGCCATGAACAATATACAAATATCAATGGCAATTTTTCATTAAAATGGACTTTTGCTGATCATTTTAATCGGTGTGCTGGTGACATCCCATTCAAATGCAAATGCTTTCAGGGCCTCAGAGGGTCCCCTTCATCAGGCGTCATTCTGAGCCTTGAATTCGTTCTTGAATTCTTGAATTGAAAACTTGAATTCGTTCAATAGAAAATGGAAAATGTGGATCCCTTAAAATAATATGATGCATGGTTTCCCCTCTTCCTTATCCTTGTCCTTGACCCTTTTATCTCCCCTCTATCCTTTCTCTATGCAGTAGCTCATAGCTCACTTAGATGCACCAGTGTGTTGTTTAACCGGGACAACACTGTTTTGTTCAATGGTATTGAGTGAATTGTTGACTTCTACTTTCCTTCTTGTTGCCCTTCTTGTTGCATTAATCGTGCTTGTTATCTTTGGAAAACCCAATAAAAATCTTTAAAATAAAAAGACAAAAAATATTTGTATCCAAATTTTGTCTAGAGCCTTATATGTTCTCATGGATTGAAGCCATCTACTCCACTCTCACAGCAGCCTTATGGGTTTTTGGAAACCTCATCAGCTTTTTTTCTCCCTACATAACGGTACTAGACAGGGGTCCCATCTTTCCCCCTGATATTTATCTTTCCCCTTGAGCCCCTATTGTGCTACATTCAATTCACTCGAATACAGACCTCAAGGGAATTGCTATTGGCATGGTCACCCGTAAGGTTGCTGGTTTTGAGGATGACGCACTCTTTTTTTGTTACTTAACTTGTGACGTCCTTGCCTTCTCTTCTACAGACCTATGGTCAGCTTTCCAATGTCAAAATCAGTCTGTCCAAATCTGAAGCTTTGAATATCAACATTCCATTGGGACCATTGTGTGCCCTTCAGAGCAGTTTAAGTTTCAAATGGGCATCAGTTTATATTAAATACTTAGGGGTGAACCTTGCCCGCCTTCCGCAATTGGGTCTTCCCCTTAAATTTTCCACCCTTCCTCTCTCTGCCATTAGGAGAGATTTGAAGGTCGGGGACATTCTCCCTAACCATTTTCCTGGTTAGGGATAAATGTACTCTCTCATCTCCTGTACCTCTTTCAAACCCTTGTCAGAATTCCTAGCTTTTTTTCTCAGGACGGTCCAAGCGGAGTTTAGGAATTTCTTATGAGCATACAAACAACATCAAGTTAATGTGTGTTCCTAAGCACAAACACTACGAAGGGATAGGCTTTCCTTGCCTGGTTTTGTACATTAGGATTACCCATATGACCAGCATCTTGGTTGTTGTAAACATTTGCCCCTTAAACTGTGGGTTCAGGTGGAACAACAATAACTAGAATAGCCTTTGTCGGCTATTCGGTTGTTCCCTGGCTAATGGATTCCCTGAGTTCGAATACACTCAGGGAATCCTAACTAGTAAGGATGTTACTGGTCCTTAAACAGGATAGGTACCTCTTTAGTAGATCTCCATGTCTGAATTTTCCATGATTATAGGCCTTCCCCTATTCGTTCCAGACCGGTTAGATCCAGCTTTCAAATCTTTAGTTTGGGCCAGTAAGTTTAAGGCCTGCCACTTCACCTCTTCAGGGAAATGGATACCTACCCTGGAAATACTGGTGCTGACAGACCCACAGCTCTCGATGTGGAAGGCAATCCAGCTCAGGCATTTCTTGCTTTCTCTACCCAGTCCTAGGGTGCTAGGGGGTATCTCCACACCCTTTGAGAAGCTCTGCTTAGATCCCTCTTCCCTAAGGTTTGCTCTATCTCATTCTTATATTATGGTAAATCAACCCACTCCTGGTACTATTCCTAGGTATCTTAGGAAATGGGAGGGGGACCTGAGGGTCTCTTTCTTTAAGGCCCAGTGAGACCGGATCCTCCATTTCAATTACAAGTCTTCCATGGCAAGTATGATCCAGGAATCGGGCTTCAAAATTTTATCCAGGTGGACCAGGATCCCCGCAACACTCCACAAAATCATTCCACAATCCTCTACCCAGTGCTGGAGATGTAACCAGGCCCAGGGTACTATGCTTCATATTTTTTGGGAGTGCCCAGTGCTTCAGCCTTTTTGGTTGGGAGTGCGCTCCTGGGCTAAGAAACTGACGGCCGTTAACCTGAGTGACAACCCTACTGTATACTTGCTCATTTAAATCATTTATCTAGACATAGATACAGGAGCTCACTCTTGGTCCATTTGAGCAATGTGTTTAGGGTACCTATTCCCCTCTGCTGGAAACAGGCCTCTCCACCTTCTCTCGCTTTGTGGTGCAGGAAAGTTCAGAAATTGTGTTACGGACGATATAACTTCAGCTCTCAAGCAACTGGGATGCCTTCAGGGCCACCTGGTACCACTGGCTGGACCTTACTTTCTGTACCGAATATGGGGACCTTCTCAACTCTGACGGGGTTGTTTGCGGGGGGGGGGGGGGGGTTTGAGGATGGCAGGAGAGGTGAGCAGTCTGTGCCAGGGTAGCCGATTTGGAAAAATTCTCCATTTCAGCTCACTTTCCAGTTCGGCTGTGTTGTCCTGGATTGTTCACTTCTCCTGCCTTCTCTGGACTTTTTACCCTTTTGTGGATAACCCTGTAAGTATTCCTCTGCTGTCTTGCCTTGTTCGAAATCCTTATTTTTAACTTATTCCACTACATTTGGGGGTCTGGCAGACCTGTACACTCCATTCCTCCCTTTTGCCCCTCCTGTTCTCCTCTTTCTAAGTGCTCTTGCCTATTCTTTATTTGCTTTCTTGTATTTCCCCTTCTTCTTTTCCACAAGGGTTCTTTTTTTTTCTTTTTTTCTACTCTCATTTGGGTTTTTAATTGGTTGAGAGATGGAAGAGAGGAGTGTTTTGAAGGTTATCTGGCTTATGCCACTTCCACATTATATTGCTACAGCTTTGCTTGTTTGTTACCTAATGTTTTGCACAAGTAATGTTTTATGCAGAATGTCTACTGCACTCTGATCTGTGTTCTCTTTATTTTCTCTGTACTCCTACGGCTACAATAAATAAAGAAAAAAAATACTCGGCAGAGGGGGAGAACACTGGGAGATTGTTTGCTCAATTGTCACAGTCACAAGATTCGGTTCCATACGTGAAGGGCCTTGATGGCTGTATTTACACTGATTCTGAATTTTTTTAATCAATTTTTAAACAGTTTTATAATGAGCTATATACTACGAAGGTAATGTATACAAGGAAGTACCTTATGCAGTCTATAGCTACTATGGGGGTTATTCACAAAGCTGCCGAAGGAATAACCCAGCCATAGTGTAGTGAGCTGAACGCTCTTCGGCTATTTACTTCAGCCTTACATCGGGTAAAATCAGCCACACATCGGCTGCCTTCGGCTCTGCATGTTTGGCTGAGCCGAAGTGCAGAAGGACTTCGATTCAGCTGATCCAAAATCTGGCTCGGCTAAGCCAAAGCTCTGGCAGCTCGCTCGCCGCCGTTCACCCCTATTCTCATAGTGAATAGCCGAATGCTGCTGAGCGGCTTTTGGCTCGGCTATTCTGCTCGGTACCTCCGAGGTAGCGAGTAGAATAGAAAAACAGTTAAATGCATGAAAAACATTAAAAGTAGAAAAATTATTTTCAAAATGTAAAAAAATAGGAACATTTTAAAAATGTTAATATTTTAACCACTTGATGACCAGGATGTTAAACCCCCTTCCTGTCCAGGCCATTTTTCAGTGTTCAGCGCTGCAGTACTTTGACATTTATACCGTCATGCAACGCTGTACTGAAATTAATATTATACCATTTTTTGGGAACACATAGAGATTTCTTTTTGTGGTATTTAATTTTTTACTCTATTGATGATGTTCAAATCCCTCCCCACTCTATCCAAAACTTTATGTCAGTGACCAACATTTTTTATTTTAGAGCCCCATAAAGCACAATGGGAGAGCACAAATGAATTTTACAACCTGAATCAACCTCTGTATGGTGTAAAGGGGTGATGGTTCCTGAAATTTGTATTTTCTGGTATTTGCTGGTAGCCACTAGCCTTTTTGTGTATTGTATCATGGCAATATGGGTTTCTTTTTAGCACACTATAAATACTCCAGCTATCTGACAGTATAGGTGCTTAGTGGCATAACACTTCTCACCAAACTTGAAATACATTTTTACCTCTTTTTAAATTTCATGGAAAACTCATGTGTTCATATTGCTTGTGTATTATATATCTGTATTTCATGTTTTTGTTGTTTTTCAGTGTGATCCATAAAGCCACATAATGGACCAAAAATCCACAGGACCAAATTCCTGATGCTTTTACGTATGGATGCATTTTAATTTACAATGTTAAATATTTGAGAACAAGCTACTACTAATAATAATACTCAATTACTTTGTATCTCAAATGTATTTTCACCCTAATTGTACTTCACAACTAACGTTACCAAGTGTTTTGTTGCTGTGCTTATTTTATTTTGAGAAACAGGCAACTGAATTTTTCAATAAAGCAGAATTATGTACCCTCCAAAAAATAGCAGTCATTTAAGTACATAGTTGTTTAATATCTTCTTGTGTCATGCAGTTATTTGGAGTCTTCTCTCAGCTCACAGTGGTGCCATTTCTGGCCCTACAGTAATGGGTAATGGGCCCATTACTTTAGTGGGAAGCCTTGCTAGGGAATATAATATCTAAAGTGGCCGGAAAATTGGTCACTGTTTGCACAGAGTTGCTCAGGTTTCAAATACCCGGACTGTACCTTTACCCAGATACTAACATAAAGCTTTGTGTGTATGTATATAATTACAGATGTAGATCAATGGAGGAGCCCTCCGCACACCTCACAGCAGTACCGGCCAATAAGCAAAGTGGTGCTCGTAATGATGACCACGAATGGCGCCGTGCAAACACAGAACAAAAAGCAAATCACCAGCACTCAGTAATAAAGATGAATATGTCCTCTTTATTGGACAAGACGTCACAGTGATCCAAAAAGCCTAAAAAAAAGGCTGATCACTGTGACGTCTTGTCCAATAAAGAGGACATATTCATCTTTATTACTGAGTGCTGGTGATTTGCTTTTTGTTCTGTATATAATTACACACTCGGGTAAAGAGGCACCCTTGACCAGCAGCAGTAGAGAGTGCAAACACAACTAGGAGGAATTTCTACCTTGTCTCATAGTATGTTAGTATACAATGTACAAAATGTAGGTTGCATCACACACAAGGTTTATTACTATTCAGGTAGTAACAGCATTTTTAGTATTAATTTCAAATATGTCTTACCCCTTTTTGAACTGCAAGTAATTACATACTCAGAACTATTTTTGTAGTCCATCATCTTTTTGTCAACCAAACCTATAATACATCCATCTTAAAGGTAAGAGCTACAAACTCATACAAAGTTAAAACAGCAATATATAATACCCAGAAATGTCTGGAAGCTCTAAACAAAACTTGAAACAATAGAAATATAAAAGAAAAAGGAAAGACCCTAAATAATATCAGAACATTACACAAAAATAAAACCAAAGTCACATTTGGGTCCTCCTGTATGCCAAGGTACCTAAAGTTTTTCCTTAATGCTAGTAACTTTGATGTAATGTCAATGACCATGTAGCGAAGTTGGAATGATGTGTCTCATTGACATGTCTCACTACACATATTTCTTGTTATGTTCGTGGGCACATTTAGCGTTGAGAGGTAAACAACAAACTTTTAAGGTACCCAATTAAAGCAGCAAATATTAGATTGATGTGGAAAAATATATTAACAATAGATAAAAAAACAGAATACAGCAATACATCTCATATATTATAAACAGCCTCAGAAAATGACTATCCCTAACCATTACCTGCAAAAAACAAAACGTATAATCCACCTTGTGCCAATAGGAATAACTTGAAGCGTGCACTAATAGCAAGCAAACTATATCAAGTGAATGTAAATCTGGGTGCCGCACTTTGAAAGTGACACAATCCAAAGGGAACACTATGTGTACAGTTTCAAACAATGCTGAAAATAAATTAGAAATCACAATAAGAAATATATAATGCAAGTTTATCATCTTTACTCATAAATCCATAAAAGTGCACATGCTACCTCAAAAAGCGATCAATCCTGATCCAGTGAGGCATCGGAAACCAGTGTAAACTAGTTTCTTTAGCAACATCCTCAGTTACCCCGCACATCTCCGGTGACATCAAACAATCTCTGGTGACCCCGCACATCCCCGGTGACATAAACAGTCTCCGGTGACCTCGCACATCTCTGGTGACATCAAACAATCCCCGGTGACCCTGCACATCCCCGGTAACATCAAAAAATCTCCGGTGACCCCACACATCCCTGGTTACCCCGCACTTCTCTGGTGACCCCGCACATCCCCCATGACACCAAACAATTTCCAGTGATCCTGCACATCCCCTGTGACCCCACATATCCCCGGTGACACCAAACATTCAACGGTGACCCCGCACATCTGCAGTGACACCAAACAATCTCCTGTGACCCTGCACATCCCCGATGAGACCAAACAATTTCCAGTGACCTCACACATCCCCGGTGACACCGCACTTCTCTGGTGACACCAATCTCCGGTGACCTCAAACAATGTTCAGTAACCCCCGCACATCCCAGGTGACCCCACACATCTCAGGTGACACCAAATAAGCTCCGATGACCCTGCACTTCTCCGGTGACACCAAACATTCTCTGGTGACACTATACAATCTCCGGTGATCCTGCACTTCTCCGGTGACATCAAACAATCTCCGGTGACCCCGCACATCCCCGGTAACACTGCACAGTGGAGGGATCTATCGAAACTGGAGCAGACAAAATCTGGAGCATATTTGCACTGCAGCCAATCAGCTTCTCTGAATCAGTTTCAAATCTTACCTGAGCAAACTGAAGAGAGAAGCTGATTGGTTGCCATGGGCAACGGCTCCAGATTCTGTTTGCTCCAGTCTTGATCAATTACCCCCCAATGTATTTGTATCTGTTCTAACAGTCATATCTGTAAATGAGAAGAAGGGGAGGGGGGGACATTGGGGAACCTGGGCTTGGTGCAAGCAGAGAGTAAGGCCCCATTCACACACGAATCGGCCTGCACTTACAGCTCCGTGCTGCGTGCAGGGCCATACCAAGTAGCTGCCGGGAAGGACAGGTGCTGCGTGTGATTAGAACGCAGCCCCCGTCCTTCTCTATGGGGCTACGCGGCCGTACGCCCCCCCTACGCTCACCTCATTTGCAGGTCCGTAGGGGTGCGGGTTTTCTGGCCGGGACGCATACATGTTCCATTCCGGCGGCGTATGGATACGATCACCCGCACCCCTACGCACCTGCAAATGAAGTGAGCGTAGGGGGGGCGTACGGCCGCGTAGCCCCATAGAGAAGGACGGGGGCTGCGTTCTAATCACAAGCAGCACTTGTCCTTCCCGGCAGCTACTTGGTACGGCCCCGCACGCAGCACGGAGCTGTACGTGCAGGCCGATTTGTGTGTGAATGAGGCCTAAATGTGACCCAGGAGAGGAAGAGATCCGAGAGAGGCACACAGAGAGAAGTCTACAGAACAGGACAAGTGCAGGAGATTCTTTCTAACACACACACAGAGAGCACAATGACAGGAGATCTCCCTCACACAGAGCACAGCTATAACTCATCTCTGCTCTCTCAAATGGGAGGGGGGAACAGCTGATTGCAGTTTAGAGATAACAACCCGACCCTCTGGGAGATGGATTGAAGATCTTGTGGAGGGAATTTTGAATTTCTAGGTCTCTGGCCTGTAAAAGAATCTATAAAATAAAGTATGAAAAACAGCCCTGTGACTCCTGAGAATGCACACACATATACACTCCCCTGCATCTCCCCATTACCACAAAAAACTCAAAATCACTTACAAAAGGTGGAAATGTCCTTTAAGGTGATTTATAAGCTTCCTCAAAAAATGTCCAGTTTTATGAAAAACCTGTGACTTTAATTATATAGCATAAAGTCAATAGCATACAATGATATAGCAAAAAATTAATAAACAAATAGATAATTAAAATATATAGTTCAGAGAATAATGCAGAGTTAGTGGTCCCTGAAAATCACCTTGTGTGAAGTCTTAGAAGTTTTATTGACTTGTGAGGATTCTAGACGAAAATAGTCTTCAACAGCTATAATAGCAAAGTCTTCTGTGTGTGGGTGTCTCTCTCCCAGCGGAGGCGTCAGAGTGTTCTGTCCTGTAGTGCGTCCTGTCCTTAAAGGGAAAGGTTTGTTGCACTCCTTACCGGACAACCCCGAATATGGGGAAGGGTGCTTGGAATGACCGCGGATGGCGCCGCCAATTGCAGACAATATAGAGATGTCAGCACACCAGACTCCTTCAGGGATAGTCAGTCGTGAATTTATTCACAACTTATGTCAAATACACAAGTGCTTTCGGGACCACACAGGATCCCTTCATCAGGCATAGCAGTGACAAAGTTAATATATATACAGTATATATATATATATAGGCAAACATGAGTGCAAAAAAAGACAAAAACACTCTCAGTGTTTTTTTGGTCTTTTCGTGCACTCATGTTTGCCTATATATACCCACACTGTCTTTTGTAACTTTGTCACTGCTATGCCTGATGAAGGCATCCTGTGTGGTCCCTAAAACC